ACAAAAGAAACTCAAGAGGAAGCTGGGAGGAAGGGAAATGTTGGGATTTCAATAAATAAAAGATGAGAAAAGGATGGTTGGGAAGAGAAAAATATTTGCAAAAGGAAAGTCTGGAAAGGAAGAAGAATATGGCGGTTTATAGACAGAGAAAAACAATAGGGCAGTCCAGTTTGACAGGATAAAAATGTTGGCGGATGGCGGTTGGCGGTTTATCGGGGGTTTGGCATCCCTTCAAGCTTAGGCAGATTTGTTAGGGACAAAATTTTGGCGGCAACCGAGGGTGGCGGTTTACCGGGGGGCGGTCTAACGGGGTTCAACTGTATCTGTATTTAATTCCCCAAATGTCCATATTGCGTTGAAATATATTGATTGAATCAGTTTCAATTGGGAGACAATTTTTATTTTCATGGAATTATGGTGAGTATTTTGTCCATAAAGCACCAATTAAAAATTATAGAATGTAAGTCTAAAGGAAAATGAGACTCAACTTTGGGACATTTTGACTTACGGTCACTCTTGATGCACCAAGTATGTCTGCATCTATTGGGGTCTCACTGTATGTTATTGGATGGGATTTCAAATGCAGAACATTCCAATAAAGAGGCATTTATATAATCATCATTATCATTATATTTTTTTTAACACTCATTTTGAAAAAAAGGTACATTCATGCGGCAAGGGCTGACCCAGACAATGTGTTTGCAATTGCTTTCAAGACCCCGCCCGTGGACTCCAAGGGTAGTGCGCATGTGCTGGAGCACTATGTGTTGGCCGGAAGTGAGCAATTTCCGGTGTCGAATCCGTTTCTCAAGATGATGACCAGGTGCCTGAGCACCTACATGAATGCTGTCACTGTGGACGACTTTACAGTCTATCCCTTCTCTACACAAAACAAGTACAGCTGGACCTCCTTGACTCAAACTTCCCCCCCTGATTCAAGAACTTCCCCAACTAAACTTTTAATCTGATAGTCAGCTGTCTGAATCCTCCCCCCCACAAAAAAACAATTTAACCTGAACCTATTTATCTAAAAAAAATCAATGAAGCACAGTGAATTAATGAGTAGGCACATTTTTTAAAGAAAGGGAAATCAAATTGTTATTGGACAAATGAAATTTTGACTTGAGGGTTCTGCACCTTTTGTAGGCTCATTTATGCAGCAGTTTCCAGTTCTTGGCCTATTTTCCATGCACTGTAGTAGGGGAAAGAATCTGAATTTTTTGCAACCAACATATTTCAGCACCAAATTTTTCATTCTTGAAATTGATGCAGAAAACATTTTCAGCTCAAGCTTCTTCAACTCAAATTCTCTTTATGGTTCAAATTTTGTGGCTGGTCCTTTTGAACTTGCTGACTTACAGGATTGTAAATCCTTCAATCATGCAGATGAAAGTATAATCCAGACAATCTGTAACTCTCAATAACCTCCTTGAATTCATAAAAATAACTCAATTTTATTGTCTTTTACTGTACTTAATTGATGAGAGTGTAAGCCTGAACTTGCTCAGTTTTCTGGATTTTATTTACAGTAAACATTTTTTACACAGAAAAATGCATCAGGGGTGGGAGAGTCTGCTCTTTTCAAACATTCAATTCTATGAAATTTCTGTGGGATGAGAACGTATTAAGGGGCAAGGATTTACCGCCATTTTCTGAAGTCAGACTTTTTCTGTTGAGACCTCTGAAGTGAAATCCTGCGTTACTAATCTGGAAATAAATGTTCCAATAGTTAAAAACACAAGCCAATGAATAAAGAAACTCGGCTCTGAAGATGATTTTTTTTTCCCTCTGAATAACATTTTTCTGATTGGAGCAAAAATGAAAATAAAGCCAAAATTCGTTCCCAACTTCTCCCTCCAAGGCACGGAGCAATCCGTGCCTTTTTAATCCATCTGACGAGCATACACACGGAAACACAAAAATTAAAAAATCAAAAGTTCAACTTGTCAACAAAGGAGGGTTAATGGGTATGGGTGGTGATGTTGTGCTGAAGCAGTTTCATTTCCGTGTTTGCACATTTGTCAGGAGTTTCAGGACTAAAAGCTCTTCTTTTCGCGTTCATGTGATCCTGCTTCCCTCAGGGTGGACTACCAGAACCTGCGGAACGTGTACGTGGACCTAGTGATGCATCCGCTGCTCAAGGAGGCGGACTTTTTGCAAGAAGCCTGGCGAATCGAGCCCCAGGACATGAATTACCCCGACTCTCCATTGGAGCTTCGCGGTGTCGTCTACACAGAGATGAAGAGCATCCGCGAGAATGCTCAATCCTGGTTCGCCCGCGACATCCGTGCCGCCCTCCTCCCGGACACCGTGTACGCCCACAATTCCGGTGGAAATCCGGACGACATCCCCCAACTAACGTGGGACGGCGTGAGGCGGTTCCACAATCAGCACTATGGCACAGCCAATGCCAAAGTGTTCAGCTATGGTGACCTGGCACTGGAGGACCACCTCAACGCCATGAATCAACTTGTTCAGGTACGGTATATTTTTAGGGAAATAAAATAAAATATGGCAAGGTCAAATGCAATGTTTTTTAAACATTGTACAGTGAGAACCCTACATGCGGACACCTTGACATGGGGACGATTCGACTTGTGGACATTTATTTTTTAACAACAAAATCATAAAAAAGACCTGACATGAGGACACTGACTCAACCTGGGGACATTATTGCAGGATAAAATTCCAAAATAAATTTTAGGAAAATCAATTTTTCTAAGGCTTAATTGCAAGAAACAGATGTTTCCAACCTAAGATCTATGCAAGAAAAATTCTTTGGTGCTTTTCCCATGATTTTCCCATCCATTCAGCTAATTTAAAAAATGCCCCATAGCACAGAGGGACTTCCTTCTAGCTCTCTTTGTGAAATGGATGTTATTTTTCCAGATGCCAACTTTTCAATTTACTGCACAGAGGTACACTATTCAATGTTCCAAATGTTCTTATTGGTTTGAAAAGATATTCAATGAATCAAATTCAAGTGGGAAAAAAATTTTTTTCATGAAATTCTGAAGAATATTTCTTCCATAAAACACCAATTAAAAGTTATACAATGTAAGTCTATGGGAAAACAAGATTTGACTTGGGGACAATCCAACATAGGGACACTCTTGATGCACCAACTATGTCCGCATCTGGGGGTCTCACTGTATCCTATGTTAAATTGACCACATGTGAAGGTGTCTGCATGTGGGGGTCTCACTAGTCAAAAGCACACCCATAAATCAAATCAGCAGAATACTGTATTTCAATATACAAATAAAAATGGATTTTCTGGGACTGAGCCTGAAATCAGGGCCTAGATTTTTTATCTGAAAATTATTTGTAAAAGTAAAAAAAAAAATGGGCTGTACCCAGAAATATACAGAATATAACCGAAACCCCGAGAAGGTGTCTTGCATTACAGCAAGGGAACAAAACGAGGCCGACTTGCGTGGGTGTTTTTCTTCTCTTGGCTCAGGCTGTTCCAAAGCACATCACGCATTTTTCTTTTTCCTTCCTTTCAACCTCTCAAATTCAATCTCGAGACCATCTGTTCGCTTCTACCCCTAATTTCAACCCCTTCCCGAACCCGGGGGTTCGAAAAAACCAGACCCAACGCCTCACGAAAGCCTAAACAACTGCGCAGTGATTTAATTTTCGCCAAATTCGGATGAGTTTGGTGCCAAATCCGCAGGAAAGTCCTTGACCAGATGTTCTCTTTCATGTGTGCGAGTATTTCCGAGCTGCTCTCCTGAAACAGATGATGTTCCTTTATGGTGTTTTTATGGTAAACTGTCTTTTACGGCTTTCCCTTCACTTATAATCTGCACTAAAAAATAATCTGTGCTTAAAATGCTTGGGAATAATGACTTGAAAGCATTTAGGAACTGAAGGCTGCAAACTGTTGCCCTTCAGGATTTATAGTTCACGCACTGAAACTGAAGGATAGGCAGCATATTCCACCTCAACAGTTGATTCTGTACAGGAGGCTAATTTAAATACAGTAAAATCTCATTACAGCAAATACCATTGCAACAAAGCTTTCAGTATACCAACGTATTTCTTGATTCCTGGCAGGAAGCCCATAGAGGCATAGAGTATTGGTTAAAAAAATTTCTTACTACAATAAATTCCAGCAAACAAGTCTGTTTTTGTGAAATCTTTCATTAATTCTCTGGATAGAAATTTTCTGACTATAAGGCAGGCAAAGTCTGAAAATTTTAATCCCAAATTTGACTGACTGGTTATTGTATCATGGATGGAGTCTGTATATGAATGATCCATGCTCCCAATTGGTTCCACACATCATTCTCCCAAAATGAAGAGACTGGCTCAACTGATGGAAAGCATGATTGAGGCTACTTTTTTAAAAGAAGATTTCTCAGATTTTGAAAAATCATAAAAAATTGGAAAATGCCAGGAGATCAAGATTTTAATTATTATAGATTGGTCTATTATTGAGAAAATTCTGTAATAATTAAGGAGTCAAGTGAACAAAGTTTGACCAAATGGCATGAACCCTTGGGTGGCAGCGGGTTCTTTTGAATTGCACAACAATGCCAGGATTTTTTTTGCAGGCCCCTACATTTTAGTTTGACCAAAGGTTACCAAAACTCAGCTTTGGCTGAGTAGCCAAAGTCAGGAATAATCCTGCAAAAAGAATGTCATTGCCCTGATAATCCCCCCATGCTAATCCTATGACGGGAATGCAGAAAAATGCCACCAAAAACTAACTTTTTTCTTTTTTTTCTTACAAATTTTTCTGCAGGAATGCCAGACAAATTTGGGATTTTTCCCAACTTAGGCTCTTCTGATCACTTTTGTTTCCTTTTTTATACTCCTTTGGCACAAAATTTTGCAGATAAATCCCAGCACTGCTGCCCCAAGGATTAAATACTTGAATGCTTTCAAAAGAGATTTTTATTGATTTCCTAAGAAGTATACAGGTGGTACCTTGAAATTTGACCCTTGTCACAAAAAGATACATGTCCTTCAACAGGTGAATAATATTGCTCTCTGTATTTCATGTTCCGGAACTTCCGTAAAGTCCTGCCTAGCAGCTTGCTTCTCCAAAGCAGACAAGGTCATTGCACATCCTAGATTCACTGTCTGGTTTACGGTCATTTGCCCAGGCCCCTTTCTGTTACCCCATTTTGGTTGCGCAAGCACATCTGGATTCCCTCAAGTCTATAAAGGTAACGCAAAGTGTGTATGTCCGCATTCATTGTTGGTCTGACTCTTGTACGTTGAAGTCTATAGAAATATACGTATTCACTTAACCTAGAGAAGTCTAGTTTCACTTAGCCCCTGCTATAAAGATAAGAATTCTTCTTGACAAAAGGCTTATCCTGGGAAGTTGAGATTTTAGATTAATCATTTGCAAAAGAAAGATGTTTCTTTTCATGCAAAAGTGTCTGTAATCAATTCTTTTGCTGGTTTAGGATAACACCCTATTCCATTGTTGGACTAGGATTGAATTGCAAAGCAGTCAAATTTCAAGAAACTTTTTAAAACTGAGAAATATCAGCACAAAAATGGAAAAAAGTGGCCAAAGCAGGTTGAATTCCAGGGCAGAAGTAAAACTGCAAGTCTACTCCCCTGCCAATTTGACAGTCAAATTGTGGGATGTTCAAATTGCAGATGGTCAACTTGTAAGGTGCACCACCTGTACTTGCAGTGAAGGTTGCTCCCAAATTTCATGCAGTATGAACTCACAAGCTTTTCTGCACATTGACTTTCAAAACCACATTCTGAATGTTCAATATCATTGTTTAATGAATATATTCTTACATCGCTTGCTTGACAAAGTGTGAAATTGTGAGTGACAAAAAGGTCAAAAAGCTTTTTTTCTCTCTTTCTCAAATATGGAAATTGTGCCAAGATTTCCGGGTGGTGGAAGTTTACCCAGAAAATAGGAAATCCCCGGTGGAAAATAGCCCTACTTCCTGGCAGCATTCCTGTACCAGAACAAGCTGACAATGAGGGAAAAAAATGAGCCAGGTGTTGAGCAACCCGGGTAG